AGACAACAGCTCCGCTGACGCGCTCTCGCGTTCCCAGATCGGCCGTTTCCGCCGCCTGCATCCAGCGGCAGCGGCCGAGCCCACGCCGGTACCGCCCGCGATGACGGCCTTCCTGGAAGCGCCGACGGAAACCTGCACCACGGCGTCGGGCTACCCGATTTAGACACGGAAGCGCGCCGGCTCATCCGGGACGGACTCGCACCCGCAACGCGAAGAGCGTATCGGCGGTGTGTCGCTGCCTTCCAGACTTTCTGCGCCTCTCACAACCTCCCCGCTATCCCCGCCACAGAGCGCACAGTCCTTCGTTTCCTCGCCCACCTCAGTCTCAACAACACTTCCCCGGGACTCGCTTCATCCCATCTGGCGGCACTGCGACACTGGCACGCCACGCGGGAGCGACCCTGGCCCGGCCGGACGGAATGAATCCGGTTAGCGCTGCGGGCCATCAGCAGAGACAGCCAGGGGCCACGCCCGCCCGGCCGGCGACCGGCGTCCGTGCCGATCCTGCTACGACTGCGCCGGCGGCTCCGGCGGGCCTCGATGTCAGCGCATGACCGGAGGGCAGCATGGGCGGCAATCACGCTGGGATTTTTCGGCGCGCTACGCGGAAGTGAGTATCTGGCCCCAAGTGCGCACCGGTTCTCTCGCCGCCGCACGTGCGCCCGCCGGCATGTCACACTACACCGGGACCGTCTTGTGCTGCATATCCCGGCGTCCAAAACCGACCAAGCGTATCGCGGAGCCACCGTCGAGCTACCCAGTGTCTCCGGCCCCGGATGTCCAGTCCAGGCTATGCGGAGGTACCTTCGCAACGTCGCCGACCAGCCTCCAGACCAACCACTGTTCATCCGGGCATCAGGCGCGTACGGCACGATCGCCTGGCTAAACGGCGTACTTCGCCGTTACGCGCCCTCGGACGCTGGGCGGCTCACCACGCATAGCCTGCGGATTGGGTTCGCCACCGCCGCCGCCGCCACCGGCGCCTCCGACGGCGCGATCCGTGCATCCGGTCGGTGGGCCTCGTCATCGCACCTCCGGTACATCCGGGGGCGCCGCCTGGACGTGTGGGAAGCGCGCATCGCTGTCAACGCGGCCCCTGCCCCGTAGAATGGCCCCGCCCCTAATGACTGGAATACACTTTGGCGTTTCTTTGGCGTCTTTCAGCATGTAGCAGATACGGAAAGGAAGCAAGAACCGACAAAGGGACGAGATAGAAGTCGAGACCGTGATACGCCAAAACGCGAAAGCAGGTTAGAAGGGAAGTTCAATCCGTAAGTAAACCATCTTCTGACACCCGGAACGGCAAAGGTGAGCGCTAATGGCACCGTGCTGTGCAACGCGATGCAGCACGGAACATTAGCGCCGGACGGACGGGTGTCTACCGGCCGGCCCACGCACACCGACGGGCGGGTGCCTACTGGCCCCGCGCGGAGAGTGCCCGTACACGGGAGCATAGATGGCGCGTCGAGCGGCCAGAGTTTATTATATATCTAGGGAGCGCAGCCTGAAAACAAGTTCTATGGGAAAATTGCTTTATTATTTAATACTTATCGAATATTTAGCCGGTCTTGTACACTGCCCTACCACCACGAAATCAATATTAACTAATTATTATGCGCTTTGTTATTTCGCGGAACGGCAACGCCGCAACAGCCTGTTGTCTGAACATCCGCCCGACAACGGCACGCCAGAGCAATTTCCCACCCACCCACTGCCCAATACCACCTGTCCTACGTCCTTCCAGTCTCCTTCTATCTGCCCTTCGGGTCGGTCTTTCAGCATGTAGCAGATACGGAAAGGAAGCAAGAACCGACAAAGGGACGAGATAGAAGTCGAGACCGTGATACGCCAACCGATTGTTTATGTGTCCATATTACATGAAATCATGATCTGAGAAGCTTTTACCAAAAATGCAGTCAAAAAACTTCACTAAAAGTAAATTCCGCTTGCCTAAAACGCAATTATCTTAGATGACCTAGGTTGACCTTGACCTTGACCTTGACATCTGTACATCGTCGAACAACATGTTCCATGATAGGTGGGAGGTAAGACTGGTAAAAAAGGCCGAAATCAAGGTGTCAAAAGCTCACAAGGCCCATAGCCAACGCAAGATGTCGAGAATTGGCCATTTGGGTCATGACATGACCTGAAAAACAAGGTCATATCTCCGAAACCAAAAGTCACAGAAACTTGAAATTTTCAGTGGACATCAAGAACGGATAGAGGAGCAGCTATACGAAAAATCAGCCTTCTAGCTCTAAAAATGTTGAGTGCAGAGCAGAAAGACTACCTGGGGGGGTGGCAACCACCCCCCCATGTGCGGGCGAGGGTTAAATGACACAGACGACATTATGTTCGAAAGCTACGAATAAAATAGAACATAAAACATGCGTCACGTGACCGATACATGATATACAATTTTCGTGACCTAGGATGACCTGGCCTTGGCCTGAAAAAAAAATCGAAGTAAAAGTTCGGTACCCTCAGGGTATCTAAGGCATATATCAAGGAGTGTGTATACCAAAAATGAGCCTGATCGGACTTGTCAGCCGGCGGCTAGAGCCTTAATTGTGAACAAGCAAAAATGCCGATAGTTTTTACTTTGACCTGACCTGTGACGTCATCGATGACCTCAAGGTAAAAAAGTTTGATCTATTAAAAAAAAATAGGTAAAAATAGGTTTCGCTCAACAGTTTTTCCAGGGCTATCAGACGCCGTTTGAATTCTGACGATCGGTCCCGTAGTTTTGGAGATAGGAGGGGGGAGGCTCTGGCGAGCCCCCCCCCCCCAGTCACTCGCATTATGGAAAATACCCCAGTCATGCGCGGGTTAAGATCAGTTTTCACCTCCTGCGACATAAATCATACCCATTATCTCAGCCCAACGCTTAGAGAAAGGTAAGCATTTTATGCAGCTATTATTTCGGTTCAGTTAGAAGCTTGCAATTTTTAGAGGCGGAGACCGCATTTACCAGACAAGGCCATATAGTAACGTTATGAGACTCTGCAGCTCCTCCAGAGACGGCTGGCCGCAACTGTTGTAAATAATTGAATCAACCGTAACGCGAATGCACACTGCACCGCGCGAAACCGAGACCAGTGGACTGAGTAGTAATTTCATAATTACATGGGTGGAAGAGGCGCGGGAGTGCCCTGACCACAGCGTCGCGCGACTAACGGTCGTTTCACGTCGGTACAGGCGGTGGCTAAGCCCTCGAGCAATCAAAGATGTGATTATGCCATGTGCCTTCGGGCCACACAACCGGCGCGGCCCGCAAGCAGCGAGCGCTAATGCAATGAGAGAAGTTCGCAATATGTATATGGCAGAGAAAGAGCCATCACACCGCTTGGGTGATTTGGGCCTGGAGTTATCCATTGCGTCAAACGGTAGAGGGGTTCTGTAGCCTTGAGTAGACGGAAGGAACGTTGGTAGGCATGACTTTTATGAACTCGGCATTTTGATGTTCGTATGGATGTTTCGAATTCACATCCTAATGCGGTGCATGCATATCTTGTATGAAAGTAAAATGCCGATATAATGTAAAACACGTTAACGAGGAAGACCGCAGAGAAGGGAATACATAGCTAAAGGACAGTTACTATACCGGTGTCTGTGCATTCCTGTCATGCCAACATTTCAGCACCACAGTTTTCATCCATTTTCGAACAAAGACGAATCCATCAGGCATAATATCATCCTTGACCTAGTCCTAGAGCTACACTTACGGAAATTCACCGCCCTAATTTCCAATTCAGATAAGTCTATTCGCGATTCGTGCACGTGCAACTTGTGCTGTCTGTATATTGTGTGCATTGTGCAATGTGCAGCACAGTATATCTGTGAATGGAATCAACCTATCAAAGCCAGTTCAGTGAGAGCTGGCTTCCACGAAATAGTGCTATAATAGTCATTGGGATCCCTCTAATATCCGTTGCGCAGAGTGACCGATTTGGTATGTAGTCCACCTCTCGCACAGTGCATACCGCTGCCCGGTGGCGGTCTGGTGAACAAAGAGTCCTGTCCTGGAGCCACGGGCGTCCGTACGACAGGCGGCTGCACTGCAAGGTGACTGGTGCGTCTGGGAGTCCGGGCCACGCACGATGAGAAAGGACCGCCGCAATCTGCCGAGCCGGAGGGCGGCTCTGGAATGGAAGACCGTCCACGTGTCCCCCCAATGCAGGCGGATGTGACTATTATGTAGATGGCTCTTGAATTTAGTAGGCTGACCGAGAGAGAAGTGTATCACTGATATTTTGCAATAGAAACTAGGCTGTAAACTCCGTGCGGGCTAAAATTACCATGATGACGCCTTACTAGTGAATCAGGACTGGGTGACCTACATATGCTCCAAGTTGTTAAAAGCTAAAGAGAAAAATCACCATCGTCGTACGCGGCATATGGGAGTCAGTGTGTACATTGTAGGTACGTATGCCCAATATTTGACCGAATAACTGTTAAGGCCGTGTAATTTGGCATCAAATATGAGCAACAGATCACCAACAATATCGTTAATTTATGGATCACAGAGCACATACTGCAATGAATGAATGAATGAAAATGCCTCCTCTCAAAGCTCTACAGGACCATCATTGAAGTGCCGCTCAGAAAACGCAGTCATGACGCGTTAGGTGAGCACGATGTTGATTGTTGACCTTCGGCTCTATCCATGTGAAGGCCGAGCCTGTCATTGCCAATCGCTCAGCTGCAATCTGATGTCACTGACCGCCGATATAAAGACACGTGCCGAGCAGATAATTCGGCCCGTTCGGCCTGGCCAGGCGCGGCAGACGGTAACTAAGAGTCGACTAGCCACTTTACCGCGGCAGATTCAAGGTGAAAGATCGTAGCATACGCAACACCGAAGCCCACCTGATGCATAGCATGCATGGCATAAGTGATAACCTGATTACTTCGGTGCATTGTCTGAAAGTAACGACCTTTTGAGTCTTTCCCTCGTCGCCCGCGACTGTCAGCAGGGCAGACAGTTGTCCGGTACTCACGTGTAGACATAGGGGCCGAGCTGCTGCAGGATGGGTTTGGCGTGATTCGTGACCACATCTTCCGCGTTCGTCACGTTCCAGAAGTAGAACTTGATGAAGATGGGAACCGGCATGGTGTGCCAGAATCCATAGCCGTCCGAGTCTGGAGTCAGCTCCAGTTTCTGTCGAGACAAAAGGCGCAACGGGATCTAAATATTACAATATTCAATAGGATCGGGTTGTTCGCTTAACCCGCGCCCTGCTGGGGGGGGGGGTGTTTGAACACCCTCCCTTGTGGTTTTTCGCGAATATCTCAAAAACGGCGGCGCGGAGCGCCGCCGTTTTTGGTACACCTTATCATACATCAATTCTACACATGCTGTGAAAATTTCAGACCAAGGTCATTTAAGGTCAGGTCACCAGGTCACTTGAAGTGACCTCACCTCATAAAAAGTTTCAATGTCTGTCATAGCTACACCGAGTGACCGATCGCTTTGAAACTTTCAGCGATTGCTAAGAGCAATAGCATGTACAAAATGTCTATCTCAGAATTTTGATATCAATGACCTAAGGTCAGGTCAATTTTGCAACCTCCCCATTATAAGTCAATGGGAGAAAATTGAAATGCGCCTCTTTTGGACGAAAGACATTATAAGCACTCCCAAACACTGAATTACAAGTGGTTTAGACACACTGAACAGGAAAATGGTGTCCGTGACCCCTGTTTATGCCCTGAGGTCATCTTAGGTCACGAATGGTATCTAACAGTATTTCGCAAATAACTTTTGATAGAGGCATGCTAGAGCGATGAAAACGCCTTAGATGTGTTCAGCTCGACGATACGGATCGACTGATATGCAACATGACCCTTTCAGGTCAGGTCATAACCTTGACCTGAGGTCAAATTTTCAAGTTGACCTTTCAAGGTCAAGTTATAGTTCATTCGATGCGTCTTGACGAGAGGAACACGATGCCGGTAAAAGTAAGCTCGTACAAGGCTTGGGTCAAAAGTTATTGCAGAAAAACTGTTTCCGAAAAAATCGGTTATTTTTGCAGTTTTTGCCCCCTGCAGGCAAAACCGTTGACGTTAGGTCAAATCTCAGAAAATTATCAGAAAGGGCGCTAATAGGGCTATCGAATGCGCTTTTCCGCGGCGCTGTAGCTCTATTGGTTCCCGAGTTATGCGTTGCCTTCTTGGAAATTTTCGCCATTCGACCTGGAAATCGGCGAAATTTTGCCTTCAAGGACCTCTGGTGACCTGACCTTTGACCTGACCAAAAAATTGACCGAAGTGATTTCGTCATTATTTTTTTACGCTCTTTCGAACGCCGCCTTCCGCGTATCGCTACGTGGCCCAGGAGCCGAGTTAGAAGGGGGGTGTTCAAACACCCCCCCCCCCCCCAGCAGGGCGTGGAAATCCAGGACCCCCAGCCGGGCGCGGGTTAAGTCTATCCCACATAAAGGCACAGATACATTTGCTGCATTGACACAGTCTTCTGATGACCTAATAGAAAAGTTTCATATCAAGCAGAACATCTTGAAAAGACACAGATGTGGTTTTGCACAATTATCGAAGCATGTTCGACAGAAGTGAAGATAGGAGTGATTGTATATCAACAGATATTTTAGGGATGATAAGACATCAACCATTATCATTTATTGCCTAAATTGAACAGCGCAGCCATGCAAAATGCATATTACTGCTGGTGGTAATACAATAATTGATGGACACTGGAATACTCACGGTGACAGACTGATAAAACTGATATGCCACAGTGGAATATATGAGTAAAATATTGTTGGCATCTGATGTCCCCAATCACACAATCGGGCAATAGCGCGGATGATGTCAGGTAAAAGCAGAAAAAGACAGCGCCATTTCTAGGAACAATATCTGACAAAAACCTCTGAGAGTAGGCCCACGGGACGTAAAAACCTCCCCAGCAGTAAGTGTCGCAGTTATCGAAACCGATGTCATTCGCCGGAATCAAAGAAGGTGCCAGAGCGCACATCTCGAAGTAATGTCTTCTAAGAAGGCTTCCATGAGAGTATGTATGTCTTAACAAAAGAGAAACAGTTCGATTCTCAAAATTCAGAAATCTGACCGTCGGCAAAGCTAAAAGAGATTATGTCTTCCATAATAAAAAATCCTCCCAATGCAACTCTAACGATACAAAAAAAGACAAGCCCACGTAGACCTCAGGTGACCTTAGACACATGGCTGATCACATACATGTATAATGCCATGTACCTATAATGTGTTCTCAGGCGCTGATCACACCTTTGCCTTCTATTTTGTTCCATTCATTTGCCATAAGCCTCAGGTCAGAAGTGCTAAGGTGGAAGAATTACAACGGCTAATTTGAATCGGCAAAAAACTTCTTTAACCCTCGCCCTGGCAGGGCATTTTTCATAACACGGCCTGGCAGGGGGGGGGTCGATGCGACCCCCCCCCCCCTCGCGATTGGCTCCTATGGCACCTAGAAACACCAAATTTGGTAGGTAGGTGGGCCCCTTGGAGTTCTCGCCCCTGTGCAAATTTGGTTGCTCTCGGTCAATATTTAGGGGGGTTTTGGGGGGTATAAATGTAAAAATTTCGCTAAAAACAGGTCAAAAGTTTTTCGCTTATAACTTTTGATCTAATTAAGATAGAGCAAAACGGAAAGCACCAGTGAACTCAGCACGTCAAGGCGCGTCGAATGATATACTTTTTAGCTTGCTTAAGTGTACTTAAAGCTTTTCTTAAATTTTAAGTAAACTTAAATTTATAAGTTAAGTTCAAGTTAACCAAATTGCATCATATTGCATATCATTCGATTCGGCTGATCACCAGGAACACAATGATACCATTTTTTAAGCTCTAGCGTCATTGTGTGCCAAGTTATTGGCAAAAACGTCATTTGACCTCAGTTGACCTCATTTGACCTGACCCATGGATAAGTACACCAAACAAAGAAGCACCAAGTGACCTGCTGTTAAGTACTGTGGTTTCAAAGCACAAAAGTGATGGAATGAAGCGGATATCTCCAGTATTTTCCTAATTTAGTATTTTCCCATAGGCTTAACATTACGACGTAATGACCTCTAACTGACCTCAGGTCAGTGACCTCAAAAAACCCGAACTATATGTTATACAACTCGGTGAACTTAGCACATCCTGAAAGTTTGAAGGAAATCAGTCCAAAACTGTGAGTTGGACAGGTGCAAAAAGAAAATTGAAATTTGACCATGACCTTGTACCGGTTTTGCTGACCTGGTGACCTGACCTTAGGTCACTCGGACCTGAAATTTTCAGGTCATATGTAAAAAGGTTGCCCCATAGGCTGTGCCAAATTTGGCGGCGCTGCGCGCCGCCGTTTTTACGCTATCTTCGAAAAACCTTAGGGGGGGGGTCGCATCGACCCCCCCCCCCTGCCAGGGCGAGGGTTAAATTGACTTCTACCTTGCGTGGCCTTGACAATGGAGAGCAGGTTTTCAATGCTTCCAGCTTTTCAATAAATGCCCATTATCACGATCGCTATGCCAAAATACGTTAAAGGGCAGGGACTCTTACTTATGTATATCACAACAACACAAAGGCTCTCAGAGTTTATCATAGCATTGCCTGACATATGACGTTCGATCTTGGTGACACGACCTGGGTGACATGACCTTATTTTTTAGGTGACCATTATTCAAAGTGTAAATGCGATGCTATGTTTAATCGGATTCAAACATTGTTTGAATCCGATTCAATTCGTCCAAGCGTTCCGGAAATAATCGTGAAAACTTAGGAACGTTTTCGCTTTCCCTCCCTGGCCGGTGTCTGTTGATGGTCCACACACGAGAGCCGTTCGCGACTCCTTTCGATCTCTCGTGGCCTTGTCCTTCAAAAAGATCCACCATAATTTGGTTGTTCGCCCAGGTGTCCCTATCCCTGTCTTAAGTTGCTTTGTACCGATTCCGAATAATCCATTCCCACAGTCCACGGAATGGAGTTTTGCACATGAATCACCCGACCTTTCAACATTTTTGCTAATGGTTGGTCGGTGATCGGGAGTAAATCCTCTCATAACTGCATCCGGGGCCGGATGCATTTCATAACAGTGACTGAGCATGGCAAGTTGGTCCCATTATTTGTGTAAGATGCATGCGCATAATTTTCTATTGTTTCAAAAGTATTGATGCAAACTGCAAACTATGGAGTCAGCCTCTCAACGACCTTTCAGGACATTTTGAGCAATATTATATAGAAATAAGAGGCATTGGCTACGGCGAGTCACGCCAACTACTGGATTGGCCAGCCTGCTGACCTGACACACTACATACTATGCTAATTCGGGTGTCCATATCCAGCTGCTGACAGCTGTTTAGAGGCCACCTGTCCGCCTGTGCTCACTGACAACTGTGCAGTTGTCTGTCTGTACAGGCTCTCGGAGGCCGCCCACAACATCTCTAATCCGGCTGTCAACGCTCCAATCTGGCCGTATCCTGGCACGGAGTACCAGCGCCGGTCGTGCGGTCAGCGGGCGCGGGCCGACCTCGCTCTCCCGACACACTGACCTTGTCCAGGATGGCGTCGAACAGCTGCTGGTTCAGCAGGACGGCCAGCACGCCGATCACCAGGGTGACAGCGCCGGCGGCCAGCAGACCGCGGTGACACGCTGAGGAGGAGGCCATCGCCGCAGGCAGTCGTCGGTTACTGACCGCCAGCCGCGCCGCCGGAGCTGTTATCGGCGTCGGACCGACGGCAGCCCCCTGGCGCACCGAGACGCCGTTGGCGACCTCTGGTGGCCGCAGCCTGAAACATCCGACACTCATCAGGGTGGCAGAGCAGGATAGAGATAACACACTTAGCAACGTGTTTACTGAACACTAATTGAAACACGAGCAAATCATTATTACTGGACAGTATCGGTTATATGAAAATCATGCCTCAATCAATCCCGTCTTGACGCACTTTAAACGGCTTATTTTAGCCGTTTAAATGATGAATAGTGGACAATACCGATTATGGTATATGAAAATCTTGCCTTATTCAATCCGGTCTTGACGCGACTTAAAACGACTAATTTTTTGGTGATCCGATTGCATGTCAGGTGCATTTTTAAACCCGAAACAGCAGCACAGAATTAAATGTAGGCATAGGGCAGCAAACAAAAAGATTTGTTTAATTTGCTTGTAAGTTACTTTCTGTTTAACATTTTATAAATCGATGTTGAATGGGGCTAATTTGATTCGGCGCAAAATCTATTTACCTTTGACAACAATAAAAACTGATCTGCAAATAGTTTCATATCGCGGGATTCGTATCGCGGGCAGACTCGAGAGAATGTTGAATGATCAGGTGACCGATTTAAACGATAACTAGCCATCCATTGATGGAAAGGAGCATAGTTACCCGTGTGTTGCACCAGCTGCATATTGAAACAGCTGAGGCACTGCACGGTTAAACTTAGATCGAGGAAGTCGTTTGGATTTAATGGGCGGCACGGTGCCGGGGTGACCGTGACCGACTGTCACGGATAGAGATAGCTCACGCACTGCCAACTGGCAGCTGCGTGATCAGCACGACCACCTACAGGTATACTGGAGCTGCTACTGCAGCCCAGGCCGAGCCCAACACTAGCTGGTGGCTATAGGACGGCTGGACGCCATTGGACGCCCAACAGCCACTCTAAAAGCTGACGTCATGTTCCAGGCTTGGTTGCCGCATTCCCTTTAATTAAAGGGACACTCCCACCTTAACATTAGTTTTGAGTTGAGATAGCCAAATTGGTGGCCATGGCCTGCAAATTCCGGTTTGGGCACTCACAACATCGAAAAATGCTTTAATTCGAAGATATGGAATTTCAAACTTGCAGTTTTCGGATTCTAAGGGGCTAATGCATTGGAATGCCCCCTTAGAATTTGTGACGTCAGCGGAGATCTAACGATTTTTAAATCTTAGACTAAAACCATCGTTAACACGTGGTGGTATACGCTGCTTTGCGCGCAACGTCTGCCGCACTATAAGGCTGCCAAATTATTGCTTCCAAATAAAGTCGCTAGTAACAGGGAGATCCCAAAAAGTAAACAAAAGTAAAAGCCTAATATCTTGAAAACCAGTGAATATTTTCGGTGAAATTTGGTAGATATTCGTTTTCGCTCTTTCTGAACCAAGGGTCATCACTTTCATGCCAATTCATTAACTTTTTTGAAGGTGGGAGGGTCCCTTTAAGGATGCTGAATCATTTCCTAGAATTCCTAGCCATAACTGTTTAGGTTTAAGAGAGCTAATCAACCATATCATTCAGCACAACAATAGAAACGAGCTTAAGTTTTATTTTGAGATTCTCACATATTATTTAGTGACTAAGTGGCACAGGCTCATGTCTACAATAAAACTGCTATGATACTTTGCTATCGTTTCGCTGCTTACAAAGCAGAACTTCGCAAAACGTAGAAAGATACAAGCTTATGTTTTATCGGCCAAGCTCTCAGAAATAACCGCCCTCTATTGTGTCGGCACCGACCAAAGACATAATCCAGCAAACCGCGACTCCATGTTTACCAGAGAACCAGCACGCATCCAACTGCGAGATCAAATAGGACGCCGACTCCCTCAGCCACATGACCTGCGAACTTCACCGGCACATGTATTGTGTAGTGGCCAAGCGACATTGTGACCCGAAACAGAGCAGCGGGCGGGACATCAGAAGTACCGATACCGATCGACAAGCTTTTTCCTGTGCTGGTCGACGATTAATCAAATTGCGTGGTTGAAAAAAAAAAATACCAGACGTTTTACAACAAACTCCAGCTGGGTGACAACTAAAATTGTGTGTGTAATTTAGTGTAGTTTCATGATGCAATACTTAGCCATGCTGAACATTACTATGCCCTATTATACGAAAAGCGGAAAGCCAGTTTCTGATAGACATTGTGAGATGAACATCATAAGGGCATTTATTGATGATGTCATGCATTTTGGAATGACTGTTAAGCGTGTTTAGTGCAACAACCAATTGGGCTGCACACAGCCCGAGGCATATTTACGTCTGGACAACGAGTTGCGGGGAAAAGTGCTGATTCTGTTGCAGTTTTAGGAGCCGGTGATTAGGCTGGATTTTTGGGTTACTTTTTCGTTCCGATTCATGTATTTCATAGTGTTTGGCTTTTGAATATTTTAGTTCTTTCAGATAAATATTACTTGCTTTACAACTTTTGTAAAAACGTTTCATTTTTTATAAGCCGACCTTCAGAGTCCTAAAAATACATCAGCACTACAGTCATTGTAAACAAACAAATGGAGCACGACTTTTGGCTCTGTTCCAAGGCGCTTTTTAAGTTTATCTGGTGGTTTCCGTACTCTTGTACGTCGTTTTGTTGGATGTTTTGAATCCCTAAGATTGACTTATATCATATTTAAGAAGCATGTGACTGAATACAATCCGAAGTATCCAGGGGGCTGACAGAGGTCCTGACTCCTGACCAATATCAATATCAAGTTGAACTTGAAGTTATGAAATTTTGGTTGATAAACGCAAGTTGAACGGGCTCATATATCAGCAAGAAAAAGTAAAATTAAAAGAGCTTATTGGCCGAAAACAAGCTATAATATTGCAGATCTTGGAGCAATACTGAAGACCAGTGAAGAGCGCGCTGAGCAGGATCATGCCAGAAAATGTTGACTGATGAGCGCACTGCGCATATTGATGTATTGGTATGAATATTGAATGATAACTTACAACAGCAAGATAAATTAGTGCTATCAAGTTAAAAATCTAGAATGAACGGACTTTGGCAGCTTTACTATGCTTAGATGCTATGCAGATTGTAATGTGCATTAGGTACTCAGTGTCTGGCAAATGAAACATGCGATCATTCCATTGCTACTGGAGGAGAAAGCTTGGATCACTAAATCCACTTGATGTTTATTTTGATGTTAATCATTACTGTATTTCTTGAAAAAAGGATTGTTATGAAATTGTCAATGTGACAATCCATGCAACGATGTGATCATATAATATGTTCATAGTCATTCGTGAGTGATTGTTGGTCCAATATACAATGGCAAAGCTCTCAGTCTCAGCGTTTCTTCCTGTGGATGGCCAGCAGTGACTCAGAGCTTAGAAGTATTAGTTTTCTTCACAGGGCTGGGATAAAAAGTACTGAGGGTAATTGTTCGTGTGAATCGTGGTCGTTTACTCTGATCCAGCACGGCAGACCAAAGTGTTCATGTAATCGTCCAGTTCACTAATAATTGCGTATCTGATCGAATCGTTTCATTAACCGGAGGACCAAAAGAGTTCTTAGATGAATGTCTATTTCTGGATTACTCGTCACACACTACACCTCAATCGAATCGTACGACGCCGGCGCCGTTGCGCCGGCGGAGCCGCGCCGTCGTCGTCGTATCGCCGCGAACTGCCGAGCCGGCCGGCGGCGGCCGGCCCGGCGCGTTGGGGCCGGTCAGCACACACATGCGCTCCAGATGACCCCCCAGGCCCTGCAGAGGACCACGTGGACGGCGGGCTCGGCCGTGCCCGCCGCGCGCTGCCGTCGCTGTGCGGCACGGTACGTTTTCTCTCGAACATGGCCGGCCCGAATTTTCGCGTCGCTCGCGGAAATTCTAAACGTAAGAGAGAAAACATTAACGAAACAACAAGCAGCTGCTCGCAGGCAGCGTCTCCGTCCGTATCGTACAGCAATAAACGAACGCTAAAGCTAAGGCTGTAAACTACATCGGTTGCGCCGCGCGTCGGTCCCAATCTAAGGCTGCTACACTCTAAGGCCCTAAACTGCTAATCGCACAGACCGACCGGCCGAATGACCCGGGAGGGGCACCATGACAGTGTGAGCGCGTAACACTGTCGAACGGCTCACAGCCGTTAGCTAATGGCTAATCACCAAACAAATGACAATTGACACAAGCGACAGCGCACAGAATGAGCGGCTCATTCTCACACACGCACACGTCAACCTAACACGAATGACGGACGCAGTTAACACTCACACATGTCCGGACTCCGACGCTGCTCGGCAGCGGCACACGGTGGTCGTAAAAGACTCACTAGTTGCCCCACTCGCGCACACATTATCCGTTGAGTCCATTTACTGCCCGTCACCATCGCACCGGAGACGGCACTGGCAGAGACGAGAGATCGGCCGCCTAGAGCGACCAGTGGCAGTGGCCATTTCGACCACCCGCCCTCGGCCGTCGGCGCCAGGGAACACGTTCACCACTCGCCCCACAGGCCAGTGCCCTCGAGGCAGATTGTCCTTTGTCGCCGGCGCTAATTCGTCGAGCTGCACGTCTGCCGGGTCTGCGCGTCACTTCATCCGTGTGATAAGCGTCCGGAGGTGCGGCTCGGGGCCGGCTCGCCCACTTGGAAGCCTGTAGGTCACTCGTTAGCGGCGGCGCTGGCTGGGCTGACCGTTTCCGGCACGGCGTGCAGGTTGGTGTGTACCGCCGCACAGCGGCCCTGCCACTGATGACCCAGAATTGGTTCCGCAGGTGAGCCAGAACGTGGTCTGCGCCAGAATGGGCGAGCTTCTCGTGTCGGTCGGTGACGATCAACCGAGTGATGTCTCCGCGTGCAGGTAGAATCACCCGGCGCTTGACCTTGAAGTCGAGCCGGGCGTGGCGCAGCTGGCCCCCGACTCTCAGAAGGCCGTTCGAGTCCAGGAATGGGTTAAGCCGGTGCAGCTGGCTGTTCGAGGGAAGCTGCCTTCCGTGCTGGAGAGCTTCGATTTCATCGCCGAACTGCTCGGCCTGTGTGCTGAGCAGCCAGACACGCTCAGCTTCTCTCAGCTCTT